GTTTGTCTGGAGGATACGGTGCAGGAGATCGAATAAGCTTATAAGCGCAATTAGCCGCAAGGAGACGCGATCAACAAGAGACCGGCGCCAGACAAAAACAACAGCTAGGAACACAAACATCGCCCCACCCAACCCACCAGTCAGCCCCCGCGCTATCTTGAACAGCCACTGTCTGCTCTGAATAATCGCATGACCCTCAGCGAACATCTCTGGCGGATCTTCGGGACCAGGCGTGAACTTTCGCATATTAAGCGAGTGGGCAAAACTCATTGTCAAAACAAAGAATAAAATTAATAACAGGTGTGATGATAGCAAAGATGCTGATAATGTTGGTCGGCTGCAGTGCTCGACTACTTATATTTGCCACGTTTGTTCTTTGACAAATGCAATTCTAAAATAGTTGTTATCATGAATATTCACCTGTCAATGTCACATTATTGTATGTGCAGATTTTAAAAAAGAATAAGATAATTTCAGACAATAGAAATGGCAGCGTGAGCCTATTCCACAATGACATCCCGTGCTATTTTAAAATTGCACTTCTACCAATCAATGTGCTTATCAAAGCGTTTTTGACTTGGTTTCCATGGTACGCTTCACATCTGAGAGCAGTGAATACTCGGAAAACAGTAATAGCTTGTCCATGCTTGAGGGGAATACTTGCTGTCAAGTGAAGTATGAAGTATCGTGTCAAGTCGTGAACGATCGGCCGAGTCGACTCGTCTTTTTTTCTCTTTATATCCGAGCCGCTCATCTGATTTGCATTACGTGGCACAAGCCAATTTCAAACTCAAGCGAGTAGCTCCGGAAATGCCTTTGTGGCTTAGTGGCACGGCGTCTGTCTTGTAATTAACATGCAAACAGAAGATCATCGGTTCGATTCCGATCTGAGGCAGTTTCTTTTTGCTTTTTCTTTTTTTATTGTTGCTTTGTCTTTGTGGGGTTTGTGTTGCTTGGAGCTGGAGCTGCAATCAAGTAGACAAGAAAGGCATGCACACGGGCAGATATCCTTTGCGTTGATGCCCACTTTCAGCGCACAAGAATACAAGTGCTCTTAAATGCATCATGTATTTTTCTTTTAATCCTACCTACAGCTTATTTAATTCTTTAAACTTAAATGGCGAGTATCTTTGATGGCGCGCTGCATCTAGAGTGCATGGCAGACTTTGACCTGCTTGTGGATAAACATAAGAGCGAATATCCAACGTTCATTACTCTACTTGCAAACAGCCTACAAGTGCATTAAAATAGTTTGTTCTGCATATGTCTAGCAAAATAAAACAGACCTCCATCTGCTAAAAAAAACATGTAGTCGCCTCCTACATGTTGCATGAAGCTAAGAGTTCATAACAAAAGAGACATGTCTCAAGGCAGCCTTATAAGTGCTGCCAAGGC